TACGACCAAAACGGCTGAAAAACCCTACCCTTTGGGGTTGCGCATACCTATATAGCCCATATTTCGGAGTACCCTCCACCCTCCCGGCCGGCGCGCCCGCAGCAAGTCACCGGCTACTTCAATTATTTCCGCCGGGTACTTTTTGTCACAAAGTTTATTCATCCGAAGTTTTGTTTCACCAACGTAATCATGATCTGATCTTTCCGAGGAAGTAAATGAAAAGGCGAAAAACTTAACAGTGCAGCTATCATGTAACTTTCGAACTTCGAAGGGAGATTTTTGATGGGCGTTACGCACATGTATCAAATTGGTCGGCATGTGCACATTTTCTAAGATGAAGCGGAAGCAACAGACTGTGCTGTCTTTTATTGCTACTGTTGAGAGGTCACGGAGGCAAACAGGTAAACAAATATTATTTGCTGTTCTAGTTTTCACAACGATGATGAAACAATTGACTTACGACACTTACAATTCAGCTGAGCATGCATCCACGGGGAGAATAGGAAGGCAGTCTTCATCATGAAATGTTACTCATTGGAATCAAAAGTGCTCCAAATGCATTCTAAGAGACGGTTTGAAACGTGTCTTAACAATAAAACCCTTCAATAACGCGAGTGTTCAGATTGTAAAGGGACTCAGTCAGCGGTGTATATGCGCATTAGATACCTTTTCGTAGCTAATTTGCATATCACAATTAACAAACAACAACAACACATCCTCTTTATTACCCTTTTTTCATTAATTAATACAGAAATATATAAAATATTGCTAAAAATTAGGGTTCTGGCAACCTGAAATAACAACTAGGTTAAAAATGCCGGGTTGCCAGATCATACTTGGTTAACCAAGTATGATAAAAATAATATCATAGGATGAGCGAAAGGAGACTCAAAAACAGGTTTCTCAGTAAACGATTGAAAATCAAGCAAAACACTGCGAAGATTGACGCGGATTTCTAGACGTACTCGACGAGTATCTCTGCTTCAGGTTGAGGTGAACTCTTTTCAAAGCGAGAAAACTAGTGTCCAAGTCAGCGCGGTTCCAAAGCTGACTGTGTCCCTTTACGACAAACGAAAATAACAAAATTGAAGCAGAATATCGTTGATTTTGTACTAATACTTCATGTATGTGACAGGAACAATTTCACGAGAAGTCGCCTCAATCCTTCTGATTCATCTGTGGCTCTTTTTCGTTACGAAAAATTAAACGATATTGATGTTGAAACTTTTTTATTGAACTTGCATATTAATTGAAATAATAATAATAATAATGATGATGATGATGATGATGATAAAATTACATTAGATTCATGTTATTGCAGTTCAATTGAATAGAATTGCAAACACAATGTAACAAGTAC